ATGTACAGACCTGTCCTGACTGTCGTTAACCTCCATATGTACAGACGTGTCCTGACTGTCCTGACCCTCCATATGTACAGACCTGTCCTGACTGTCCTGACCCTCCATATGTACAGACCTGTCCTGACTGTCCTGACCCTCCATATGTACAGACCTGTCCTGACTGTCGTTAACCTCCATATGTACAGATCTGTCCTGACTGTCATTACCCTCCATGTGTACTGACCTGTCCTGACTGTCATTACCCTCCATATGTACAGACCTGTCCTGACTGTCGTTAACCTCCATATGTACAGACCTGTCCTGACTGTCCTGACCCTCCATGTGTACAGATCTGTCCTGACTGTCATTACCCTCCATGTGTACAGACCTGTCCTGACTGTCCTGACCCTCCATATGTACAGATCTGTCCTGACTGTCCTGACCCTCCATATGTACAGACCTGTCCTGACTGTCCTGACCCTCCATATGTACAGACCTGTCCTGACTGTCCTGACCCTCCATGTGTACAGATCTGTCCTGACTGTCGTTAACCTCCATATGTACAGATCTGTCCTAACTGTCATTACCCTCCATGTGTACAGACCTGTCCTGACTGTCCTGACCCTCCATATGTACAGATCTGTCCTGACTGTCCTGACCCTCCATATGTACAGATCTGTCCTAACTGTCATTACCCTCCATGTGTACAGACCTGTCCTGACTGTCCTGACCCTCCATATGTACAGATCTGTCCTGACCCTCCATATGTACAGATCTGTCCTAACTGTCATTACCCTCCATGTGTACAGACCTGTCCTGACTGTTGTTACCCTCCATGTGTACAGATCTGTCCTGACTGTCGTTAACCTCCATATGTACAGACCTGTCCTGACTGTCTTTACCCTCCATGTGTACAGACCTGTCCTGACTGTCCTGACCCTCCATATGTACAGATCTGTCCTGACTGTCCTGACCCTCCATATGTACAGATCTGTCCTAACTGTCATTACCCTCCATGTGTACAGACCTGTCCTGACTGTTGTTACCCTCCATGTGTACAGATCTGTCCTGACTGTCGTTAACCTCCATATGTACAGACCTGTCCTGACTGTCCTGACCCTCCATGTGTACAGATCTGTCCTGACTGTCCTGACCCTCCATATGTACAGATCTGTCCTAACTGTCATTACCCTCCATGTGTACAGACCTGTCCTGACTGTCCTGACCCTCCATATGTACAGATCTGTCCTGACTGTCCTGACCCTCCATATGTACAGATCTGTCCTAACTGTCATTACCCTCCATGTGTACAGACCTGTCCTGACTGTTG